TCCTATAAGGGTTCCGTTTTTTCCTTTTGAGATACGGCACCCTAAAAATGACTTTACAGTTTTACGAATGAAAATGATGATGCCGTGGCATTTGCTATTTGATCTTGAACTATTTGTGTTCTTTAAAAAGCATCAATGGCATTGTTTTATTTACACAGAAACACAGAATATACGCAATATTGTTATATTGAGTGCACATGCAGAGGGGTGATGCCGGGGTACAGTAAACGAAATTCTATTTAGTCCGTCAGTTAGATGATCAAAAAATAATGGACACGTATTTTTTCTTTGGGCAATCAACCAAAAAATGACAAAGTTATAGCGCGTCAAAGTTTGGGAGTAGGGGCTCGTGACGTCACTTTATAGTAAATATTCGCTTAAAAGTGTACTCAAACGTGACGTCATGCGACTTTTCAAATCAATATATCTCTGCAATGTTTATATTATGTGAAAAAAGAAAAAATACGTGTCCAATACTTTTTGATAATCTACCTGATAAACGAAGAAAATAAAATAGTAATCATCCCTATTGTGAAATGGTGGTCCTGTACCACAATTTAAGCGGATCACTATTGTGCCGCGAGTGCCGAATCTTCCCTTTTTGTTTTAGGTAATCTTAGTTAAATATTACAAAAACTGTCATAAAATTTTATAATTAAAAGTATTTTAGTATGTTGATAACGACTCGCTTTGTCACCATGACCAAGGATCAAGTCATATTTAGTTCAGTTGACGAAAGAAGTTATATTTTTAGAATACTTTTGTCATTGCAGTAGCATTTTTCCACTATTAGAAGATTTCAAGATGGGACAGACGGTTAATTCATATTAGCTTTAAATTGTTCTGTAAAGTTGACATTGCAAATACTTGCATGAATGAATCTTTCACCTTTAAAACCTGTAAAGATTTTTTATAATAAATAATAATAACTTGATGAATGGATAAATTATTTAAATATTAAAATTAATTTAGCCGTACTATCTATATATATAAAACTCGAAAGGTGACTGACTGACTGACATAGTGATCTATCAACGCACAGCCCAAACCACTGGACCACGGTAATATTATGATATTATTACCGTGACTGGACGGATCGGGCTGAAATTTAGCATGCAGGTAGATGTTATGAAGTAGGCATCCGCTAAGAAAGGATTTTGATCAATTCTACCACCAAGGGGATAAAATAGGGAATAAAAGTTTGTATGAAGCTTTGTCAATTTTAAACCGATCGGACTGAGACTTTGCATGCAGGTATAACAAGAATCATAGATAATTGTCATTGTGTATAATACAAGCCTGAGAACAAAAACTGTAGTCTACACTTAGCTCTACACCGAAGCGAAGCGAGGGCGGGCCGCTAGTAAAGTGTAAATTGTAATTATCTGGTAATAAATTGATTTTGATGAATTTTGGCATGTAGATAAGGCAAACTTTTTTGCCGATTGCGACACGGAACCCTATAAAACTATAATATTTCAGATGTTTCATACAGATAATGCTATTTTAGACCCCAAGGGCAGAGCGTGATAATGGAAAATTAACAAAACACTAGATACCTGTGTCATTAATTAAATTAGGTAAAGTACCTAATTATAGGGAAAAATTCAGGCGTAACTTCATTTTGCGAGATATTGTCGGCGCTAAAACAATAATATTTTTTTACTTACATCAGCTTTTATCGTGTCTAGACTGAGCAAGATTAAATTGAATAATATCTACATTAAGCGCAAATATTAGATTAGATTAAAATTTCATTAACGAAAATCATTTTGCACTGTGCGCGTGTTGGGAAAGACCTGTAAGTATGAAAAAAATGCGCATCGCAAGATATTTTTTATCATTTTAATTATATTCTCATATAATTTATACATGCTTATTTTTTACGGCCATCCGTGTAGGTCAAACTTTTATTTAGTACAGTTAAATTAAAATAATAAATAAGTTTTAAAAGCGTGTGAAATGTAACCTCCTAGATTACATCAAGTACAATGAGAAATTTCTTTTATTTATGTGAACAATAGCTTCGTCTTATTACACCAGGCATTGTCAGTCGGTCTGCTAAAAAGCAGGTTGTTCGCAGGGTCGTTAACTTGGAGACCACTCTTAAGAACATGTTGGCATGTGGACTACTCTCCTCATACCTGTACCACGGTAAGGGCAATCTTCTGGTCTCCATATGGAAGACTACCGGGAGAATCTCTCACAGCGTGTACAATATTGATGCCCGATACTTCCCTTCAATGGCCGATTTCATTAGGTCTGTCTGTAGGATGATGATAGGGCAAGTAATGTATGTTGTAGATAAAACATGTATTTGATTTATAATTTATCTTATAGTTTCGTAGTTTACATCTGACATTTAACCCTCGGATACTGTTTGCTTAGTTAAGTGATTGTTCGACGGATTTCACAGAACATTATTGTCATGCTGTGGAATGTTCGAGAATAATCATGTTGATAAATTTCATAGAGATTGTTGGTAGGTAGGATTGCTGTTTTGCACTGCAGGTACGTAATGTAATGGTATTAATAAAATTCGTAGTTCATATATGATACTAGAAATATTCTTTTAAAATTTAAGGGTAAATGCACTGCATCCTGTACACCGATGGTAAGATAGCAGGCGACCGCAAATCTATTCTGATTTTATTTTTAATTTTCACTAGAATCGATGACATGCTATAAAATTTTATTTAAACAAAAAATGAAAACTGAATTCAATATCGTACATAATAATAATCTTTATTCTTTCTTAATATACATGCACAACCGGTAAATCGACAGTACAGTACTATAATAAAAAAGAAAAATATACCTTACTTAGTATGTATTATGTTTTATAACAAAATATCAATAGCACTTCAACAAAATAACAATAAAACTAACTTGAAGCAACTTATTATGCTATTAACTTTAAAATAACCTACGCATTACAAAGTAGGTATGAAGTTTTCAAACTACTTACGAATTGGGGTTTCTGGTTATACTTAACACTTCACTTACTGTGTATGTGTACTAAGTATTTACCAAACATAGCGTTTATGTAAAAAGGGAAGTAAAAAGTATATCTGGTTCATGATTTAGAAGTCGGGCGGGGTCAAGATTAGAACACATATTAGAAATGCAAATTTATTCCATGTTCCAATCTTGTGAATCATCCCGACTTCTAAATCATGAATCAGATATTAATTTTTACTTTTCAGTTCCATTTTTTTCGATTCTAAAATGACATGGATTTATCTCTTATTATTTTAATCTTAATTAAACTTGCAATCAATGCGATACGGCAATATTCTACAAGGTCATTATAAGGAAAAGTCATTCGAAATGGTTCTATAAACAAATCAAATTATTGGTATACCGCTCTCACCGCAGAAATAATTTGTTTTTGCCTCTATTAGAGGAGCCGACTGCTAAGTAGTTTCTTTAAATAATAATTTCTGTGATACGTATTTCCTTTTTTTGCGTTGTTAATGTTAAAATCAAATAATTATTTTGGGCGTATAGATGTAGTAAATAAATATAGTTAAGGCAAAGGAATAGTTCAAATAAAACTGAAAGAAAATGATATTCATAAAATAACGGTTACACAAATCCGAAATTAGCAAGCGGATGGCCGTAAACATGGTGCAGCTAAAACAGTCAATCTCTAATCTAATGACATTTTCAGGAGTGTGAGGATATGTCGAGATGGATTTGTTGCGATTCTGGGCGTGAGAGGAAAGTGTCTGATAACGAGATAACCTTGCAGAAGCGGCCCGTCGTTCCGCCAAAGGATAAGCCCGATGATTATTCTAGAGCTCAGATAGTCGAAGATTTAGATAAGGGGTATTGTACAAGCATCGAATGAAATCATTGTTAATCAGAAATACCTACATATTATGTGAATGTTTCATCATTCTGCGTTATGTAACTTAATTTGCACAGAAAAATTCATAAGACATTTAAATCTGCTGTTTTTATTTGTGTTGTTGTTGGGCACTGATAAATAGAACGTTGGTAATCAACTCTTTATAAAAATCTCTTGACGCTTAACTTGTAAGTAGGTACTTATTACGTTAATTAATTAATTAAACATCCCTAATAAACCCTAATCTCATAGGTATAATTCATAAAGTCTATTTTATATAGGTTAGGCACCTATTAGGTTATGATGGGCTGTGCTATGGCTCATGGGCCATTAGGGAACGGTAAATTTTTTATGCTTTCAATAAAAAAAAATTAATAAATTTTAGTAGCTTTACCTTAATTGAATAAGTTTTTAAAATTATAATTTCATTATCAACACTGTGAGTAACAACTGACAAGATTGTATTGCAAGGTGCTCAACAGCAGTTCGATTATAAGGGTGCGTATGGCAATGTATTACTCAAAAAATATGAGTCGTTGTTATCAATCTAATATATAAAATTCTCGTGTCACGGTGTTTGTGGTTAAACTCCTCCGAAACGGCTTTCCCGATTCTCATGAAATGTTGTGTGCATATTGGGTAGGTCTGAGAATCGGACATCATCTATTTTTCATCCCCCTAAATGTTAAGGGTAATCCACCCCTAATTTTTTTTTCAATTTTAGTTTTTCTTTTAAATTTTTTTATGATACAGCATTAGTAAATACATACAAACCTAAATTTTCACCCTTCTACCACCAGCCCCTATTTTATTATGGCGGGACGAAGTTCGCTGGGATAGCTAGTGTTATTATAAAATGGGATAGGTTATTTGTTCCGTGTTAGGGTATGGTATCATTTAACCAAGTACTTCTCATAATTTCTTATAAATAGAAATGGGAATACTATCGTCGGCTTTGCTTTCAATGTAAAATATATATTTTATTAATATCGGCAGGTAGGTAGTATAGTACGTATCTCATTAATATTATTTCAATCATTAGTCTTATTTGTACTTATTATTATTCATCAATAATATCATTCTATCACTCAACGTTATATTACATTCTTTTGCTATAGCAATAAAGTTCATATTGTTTTGGTTGCAGTTTCAACAAGATGCCTCTGCAGCTCACCAAACCCGCGCCGCAGTTCAAGACCACAGCCGTAGTGAACGGCGAGTTTAAGGACGTCTCGCTGGCAGACTACAAGGGCAAATATGTGGTGCTGTTCTTCTACCCGCTCGACTTGTAAGTATCTGATGTATTGTAAGATTTATACTACAATCCTGCTGGCTATATAGTAATCTGTGGCGTTCCTAGTTCGTAAGTTAATTATAATTTACGGGGAAACTAGATAGGATTTATTCACATCATTTGTATATTTGTACTTCGAAGAACAGCAACAAAACAAGAATGAATGAAGAAGCATTTTTGCAGGCCGGCAAGGTGAGGATGGTTGGTGTAGCAGTTTATAACTGCTGTACCAGCTATCTTCGAGTTTGGACTTTATCACCACTTTACATCAAGTGGGATAGAGTCATTTGCCTACCTCGCTATAAAAAAATACTGCGTGACTAGTACAAGGTTTTTCTTGGTTTACTATCAAGGCAAAATATACCAGTGTTTAACCAACCTGTATATATTAAATATGTCTGTCAAGTGTCAATAAAGTAAATTCAAATATTGGAATCTAAAGGCTGATTTACGCCGGGGCAAGACTGTGCGTCATTGCGGCATGCCACGAGGCCGCATGCTACAATATTTAATAATGTCGCACATTGTGGCAGGAATCGTGCGACATGGCAACATATTGCGTCATGTGGCGCATTGTAGCAACGTGTATCCGAAGCCTATGGATTACGTGCGACATTTTTGGTGCGGCAAAACAGGGCTATGTTCTAAACCTTCGTTCTGAATGCAACTTTTTGCCCTGACGTCTACATTTGACATAAAATGAATGTAACTTATGTCAAAGGCATTTGTTACGCCTAGAGCGTAGATTTGGAACGTAGCCTAGTTTGTAGGTTATTTTTATGGTTTTTTTTATAAGTAAGGCGGTAATTATCGGTCATGGTGTGGTGTAACGAAAAATATTTAGACTTTATTGAGGATACAATAATTTATTGTTTTATACCGCAGTTCTCTGAAATGATCTATGTAAGATATTGCCTCAGCGTAAAATAGACTGCCGCATGTCGCAAGTGCCGCAAGATGTTTTTATTTGTGGCAGGCCACCAAATGGCCCATGCAACAATATAAAGCATGCGACACTGTCGCACGTTGTTGCTTCGGCATAAATAAGCCTTAACGTTGTCAAAGCTCAAATATCAATATTTTCAAATAAATCAAAAATTCAACATCTAACTGTTAACTAACCTCATTCTATCTGTTTTAATTAAACAGGTGAATTAGAAACTGGATTTAGCCTAACTTTGTCTTAGAAATGTTTGTGGTGTAAATAATAATAATGATATGTAAATAAAGTTATAAAATGTAGGTAGGAAATGCTTAAAATTACTAGATGCTTTACAAAAAAATACTGATAAATGCTACGTGTGACAGTTGTAAGTGCGTCCTTATCTGATATTTGCATACACAGGGCAATAACACACGGAATTATTTAACAAATACCGGCTTCACTTCAATAGTTTAACAACAGCTTGTTCCTATTATTGTAACTGGATTAAAGCATTTTGTAAGAATAAGTATAATAATATACTTCTAAAGTTATTATTTTTACAAATGGGCTGATCACTGGGTATTTTACCCTAATAAAAAGTAAACTCAGTCAGTTCATGAAAAATATATGGAATAGGGATGATGACTATTTTTTTTTCTTCGTTTATCAGGTAGATTATCAAAAAGTATTGGACACGTATTTTTTCTTTTTTCACATAATATATAAACATTGCAGAGATATATTGATTTAAAAAGTCGCATGACGTCACGTTTGAGTACACTTTTAAGTGAAAATTCACTCAAAAGTGACGTCACGAGCCCCTACTCCCAAACTTTGACGCGCTGTAACTTTGTCATTTTTTGGTTGATTGCCCAAAGAAAAAATACGTGTCCATTATTTTTTGATCATCTAACTGACGGACTAAATAGAATTTCGTTTGCTGTACCCCGTCATCATCCCTATTATGGTTCAAATTATTTAAACCTGACATTGTGGGTTACCTACAATGCGGAGAGATGGCGCTGTCTTGCAGCTTAAGAAAGGCTAGAATGAATTCGACACGGCCATCAGGGCCGCGGTAGTGCATTCGCCCGGATAGCGAAGGGTGCGGGTTCGACTCCCGTCTGCTGTCTGGTCCGCGTGGATTTTTTTCTAGTAATATTTTCCTTACATTTAAACATGCTCATTGTTTTCATTCTTAAAAAAATAAATTAAAATTATTTATAGGTATAAATAATTAGTTTTAGTATCATTTTGTTTTAATCCAATTGGAACAATTTAAATGTCAGTTTGTGACTAGCAGCCGCACTTTAGGGCCTCAATTAAATTTAATGCTTGTCAAGTTGTCTGATTCTAAATTTCTTTGATTCTTGAATGCAGCCGTTAGCAATTACCTATTGCAATGACCTTCATACTAAACTACTTAATATTTACTGCTAAGGCCATTACTGAACACATAAACCACGTAATTTAGTTTTGTATTATTTATGTTACTGTGTACCTATTGCTTGCTATTCTATCAAGTATTGACAACGATTCAATTGTTAAATACATAATCAAGTTCTTTCTTTGCAAAGGCTGTTACAGAATAGACGCCAGAAAATTCATAATTTTGTGAACCTGACATCAAATTATCCCCACTGCTGGGGCTAAGGCCTTCCCTATGGATGGAATAGGGAGATAGGACTGGCGGGTGCTAATGATTGCAGATGCAACCGGGACCAACGGCTTAACGTGCCTTCCGAAGCACGGAGGAACTCGAGATAGAAATTTTTGGTCACCCATCCAATGACCGACCACTAAGAAAGTTGCTTAACTACAACGATCGTAGCCAAGCGCGCTAACCACCTGCGGCATCGGGCTCCTCGCTACAAATTATCTACATAATACAAAAACACAATATTTGAAAACTCTTCAGAGTAAGGTTTATTTATATATCTCTTATCTATTAGACAAGTCCGTCCGTCCGTCCGTCCGTGGTGCTGTTTCAGCGGCCAAACCGTAAGAGATAGATATAGAGAATGTTTAAGTTATAAGTTAAGAATAGTCTGATAAGACTACAAACCGGATGTGAGTAACGTAGCACTTCCGGTTTTCGAGAAATCACGTGATTTCTATTTCAAACGAAACCACACAAAATCTCCGAAGTTCTCAATTAATTAAATACATTTTTTTTATTTGGTGAACATTTGGTTCACTGGTTTGCTAGTTTAATTGTATTTTTTTAAGCATATAACTGGTAGATGTTTATCGTAATGTTTGTCTGTCGCACGCAGCACATTCGTGTGCCCCACGGAGATCATATCGTTCTCGGAGCGCGCGGACGACTTCAGGAAGATCGGCTGCGAGGTGATCGCCGCCTCTACTGACTCACACTTCACGCATCTCGCCTGGATCAACACGCCCAGGAAACAGGGTGAGTCACCAATAGGTTTATCACCTTTTTAGGGTTCCGTACCTCAAAAGGAAAAAACGGAACCCTTAAAGGATCACTTTGTTGTCCGTCTGTCCGTCCGTCCGTCTGTCAAGACCGTTTTTCTCAGGAACGCGTGGAGGTATCAAACTGAAATTCATACCTTATACTCAGGTCTACTGTCCCTTGGAGCTATGAAAAAATCAAACTTCTAAGCCAAAGCAATCAAAAGATACAGCCATTTATGCCGCAAATTTTCGAAACTCGCACGGGAATCAAAACCTACAGGGTACTTCCCGTGAACTTAGAATCTTGAATTTTGGTACGAAGTAACGTCTTATAGTACAGATAAAGGAAAAATTGCGAAAACCGTAGATTTTTAGTTACATCATAAAATAAAAAATATTTTTGAATATTTTTGTACGGAACCCTCGGTACGCGAGTCCGACTCGCACTTGGCCGGTTTTTTTTCTAACAAATATAGTATTTTCGAAACTGTCACCTCTAAAAATATATTATAGATAGACAAGAGGCGGATTTATTACTACAAAGTACAACAATGATGTCGATTCTGGCATGATTCTCTAAAGCTAAACTTAAATTTGTCAACAGTTTATCTTTGTCATTCTCTATACAGAATGAAAAGGGCAGACTGATGTTAAATTTAGTTTTAAGTTTAGAGAATCCTGCCAGAATCGACACCAATATTTATGGTACCAGAACTTCCAAGTATTTGTTACCTTTATTCACCAATGAACTACCAGAGGCTAGGCAAAATAAAATCAAATGTTCTAGACCCTTTGTTAAATGATAAAAAAGTATTATTTAGACAACCAGACAGGCTGTTTGGCGTGACTGGCTGTGGAGCGACTCTGCAGCACAGATAAATCTGTAAGGTTTTTGCGCTGTAATGATGTTTTTATTGTATGAAAATTAAATAATAAATAAATTGAATTGAAAAAAAAAGATGGCAAAAACATAGAAAAAAGTATGTGGTTAAAATACCTATCTACTTTATTTTTCAAATGAATATATTTTTGCCCTTCCATGCCTTAATAATAAATAATTTTTAGTTCTAAGAACGCTTTTATTGCCAAAAATCTGTTTTAAGCAAATAATAGTAGTTTCGCCTACTATATATTTTTATTAGGAATATAGTATTTGATCTCCTTATATAGTAGGATACTATATTTAATTTAATCATCAGCCTATTAATGTCCCCAATGCTAGGGCACAGGCCTTCCCTATGGCTGGAATAGGGAGGTTGGGCCGTGACCCACCACGCGGGCCTAAGGCTAAAAGTTGACCCATAGTTAAATAAATCTCGTAATCTTGCTATCGAACCTCGTACACGATTTGCAAAGAAAATTGGTTTGCAATGTTTTTAATATTTGTTATCTGTTATAATAATAAATAATAAATAAATAAATAAATATTTCCGACACTCACACCAATTAGCCTAGCCCCAAAGTAAGCACTATAATGCTTGTGTTATGGGATGCTAGGGTAACGGATAGAATACATATACTGTACATATATAAATATATTTATATAAATACATATTAAACATCCATGACTGGAGTACAAATGCTCGTATTCATCACACAAACATCTGCCCCCACCGGGATTCGAACCCAGGACCTCTCGAGTTGGCGACAGCCATGAAACCCGGCGTACACACCACTCGGCCACGGAGGTCGTCATACTTAACATACTTTTATTTTATTATCATTGCATTCATCTAAAAGTATTGAAATAAATTATATAATAATACTACCGGCCCGCCCTCGCTCCGCTTCGGTGTTGAGCTGAAGTGTAGACTACAGTTTTTGTTCTCAGGCCTGTATTATATACAATGACATACATCTATGATTCTTCTTATACCTGCATGCAAAGTCTCAGCCCGGTCGGTTTAAAATTGACAAAGTTTCATGCAAACTTTCATCCCCTATTTTATCCCCTTGGGGGGTAGAATTGATCAAATCCTTTCTTAGCGGATGCCTACGTCATAACACCTACCTGCATGCCAAATTTCAGCCCGATCCGTCCAGTGGTTTGGGCTTTGCGTTGATAGATCACTATGTCAGTCAGTCAGTCACTTTTGAGTTTTATGTATAGGTTATTTGTGTATGTGTGTATATATGAGTATTATATTACGGATTTTAGTAAACATTCAATTTCATCGTAGCTACTTGTATTTAGCCATTCAATATAGCGTAAATTATCGGTTGTAAAATAGGACCTAAAGCTCTTGTTTCAAATTTAAAAGATAATAATTCTATGTACAAAGATGTCTAAATCACAATTTGATTTTGGATTGTTGGTACAAGTGACCCTTTGCCACTTCTCATGGCAATTGGTATTTTGCTGTTGGTCACTTTGTAAGCAGGTTTCCTTACCTCTTTATGAGAATAATAATACTGCTGTCAAAAAGCTAACATTTTAATTCCAGACAGATAATATATTTATTTTTTACTTGCCTACTTAATATGCAAGCATGCATTATAATGAGCACTTAGTACCTTCTAAGTCAAACTTATATATTTGTTGTGCCTCTGAAATCCATACTATACTAATATTATAAATTCAAAAGTGCGTCTGTCTATCTGTTAGTTTGTCTAACCATACTGAGCCGACTGAGATGAAATCTGATACATAGGATAGTTTTTATTTTATTTATTTAAATAACTTTATTGATCACATTAAAATGGTACAAGAGGCGGACTTTATGCTAAAAGCATTTTCTATCAGTCAACCTTTAGTAAAAAAGAAAAACTCGAACGGCGGCATACAGCTAAAAACTAGAGATGGGCCATCTATAATATTTGCCGACTAATCGGTTTTCGAATTGCCGACTAGTCGGCCGACTATTCTGCAATGCCGATCATTCTTCGTCACTACTCTGATTGCTCACGCACGACACGAGCCTCCCAAATTGAGCCGAAATATTCACGTTCCAACATCACAATTTGCCTCTAAGAAACAAAAATTACCTATGGAATTCTTTAAGACTCGCTCGCACGTAAGATTTCACTTTAACATTAATACATACGTACTTCCCACTGCTGTTTTGTTTTATGCGATATTCATTGTGTTAAGTTATCTGAATTACTGACAGATTCTTAAGTTCCTAATTCTTATTGTTATAACTTTGCATACATACTCTTGGTACTGTTTAAATATTCTCAACAAGTATGTTTTGAATTTTATTTCATTGTTATGTGACGATGATAATCGGCAGGTTTTGCCGAATAGTTGCCGACTAATCGCCGACTATAAACGATGCCGAATAGTCGTCTTTCCCGACTAGTCGGCGGCTAGTCGGCCCATCTCTACTAAAAACATAATAAATAGAATATTAAATTATAAGAGAAGACTGATATAACATACATACTTAAATACAAACGTAAATATATACATAAATACATAACACAATAATATCTATTATCCCAGAAATCATATTTTAAGGAGATGGAATTTTGTATGGGAAACCGTTTATTCCACGCAGGCGAAGTACTCACTTGCTAGTACGACGAATAAAATTATATTTATACTTACGAATTGCTTACCTTATGTCTAGACAGACATAAGGTGATAAAAGCTATATAAACATATAGCTTTTATTTGTCTAAAGTTGAATACATAATTAGCCTCGGCTAATAGCAAGTTAAATAAATCTTTGACCTATTCGTTTAAAATGCTTTCTGCCTGACATTGTCTCAAGGTTTATTTATTAATATAATAAATGATGATTTTTAATTAATCGTTGATGACATCATTTTTAGCTGTAAAGTTTTTATGCTTGTAACATAATGAATGAGAGCCAGCTGTCGTTTGAATCGACTTAAAAATTGCCACTTTGACAAATTTTATTAATATCTCATTTAACTTTAAATTATAACTATTATTGCTATTTCTTCTTTCAAATGTTTAATACTTGTAAAAGTATTCATTTCACATTGTGGGTTACCTATAATGCGAAGAGATGGCGCTGCCTTGCAGCTTAAGAATGGCTAGAGGAATTTCGACGCGGTCCGTGAGGGCCGCGGTAGCATAATTGGTCAGTGCATTCGCCCGGATTGCGAAGGGTGCGGGTTCGAGTCCCGTCTGCTGCCTGGTCCGCGTGGAATTTTTTCTAGTTATATTTTCTTTAGATTTAAACATCAAGCAGTTACATGCTTTAAAGAAATAAAAATTATAAATATCTCATTTATTTTATATCATAGTTAGGTTTTTTATAAAATAGATATTTCAAATACAGAAACGTAAATATATAAATAAATATAGTATAAAAAATCTAACCTAGAGGGCCACCAGTAGCGGGGCTAGGCCCAAGCTTAGGGCCACAGAGAAAGAAACCGCCTGACGATGCGCGCTGTGTCCAGTAGTACTGTACCCCTAGCACGAACCAATATCGAATTCGAATCGTTTGCGAATCCGAAATGTCAAGTGTACTGATTTTTAGTTCTCGTTACGTACTTTGTGCCGCTGCTGTTCAAGTTTCCATACAAAATTTGACATTGACATTTCGGTTTGCAAACTATTCGAATTCGATAATGGTTCGTGCTAGGGGTTACTGCCTTTTGTATCTACCCCTTACCCCTAACCCAACCATCTAGTGAGAGACTCTTTAGATGTTGCTCTAATGATGATTTATTTATAATAAAGAATTGATTATTTGAGATTCTTATTATTAGCTACAGTAGTGTGATCTTCTTCTTAGTTCATATACTTGTGTACATCATCATCAGCCTATTAATGTCCCCACTGCTGGGGCACAGGCCTTCCCTATGGATGGAATAGGGAGATTGGGCCATGACCCACCACGCGGGCCCAGTGCGGATTGGTGGGTGCTAACGACTGCATGTGCAACCGGGCACAACGGCTAACGTGCCTTCCGAAGCACGGAGGAACTCGAGATAGATGATTTTTGGTCACCCATCCAATGACCGACCCCTGCGAAAGTTGCTTAACTTCAACGATCGCAGCCGAACGCGCTAACCATCCGCGCCATCGAGCTCCTCCTTGAACTTGTGTACACATGCATTAAAAAGGTATATTTAAATATGAGTCACACAAAAAAATGTGTATGAATATATTGGGATTTTCTTCCCAATTAATTGCATTTTTTTTTATTTTGTTGCAAAGTTTATACGAAAAGATACAGGAGAAGTGTTTGCGGCAGGCAGTTCAAAAGCGAATGAATCGGATGTTGATTATATGAAGTGTGTTGAATAAACAACGCTGGCGAACGAAATCTAAAGAAAATTTTACTAGAAAAAGAAATCTTTAGATTAAAACTGACTTTAAACTGATGATTTATTTCGACGACCTCCAGGTTTCATGATGTCGCCTACTCGTGAGGTGCCGGGTTCGAATCCATTTGTACTCCAGTCATGGATGTATAATATGTATTTCTATATAAATCTACTATATAAAAATAAGTCGGGTTTTCCTTCCTGACGCTATAACTCCAGAACGCACGAACTGATTTCCACGGTTTTGCATTCGTTGGAAAGGTCTCGGGCTCCGTGAGGTTTATAGCAAAGAAAATTTAGGAAAAATTAAAAAAAAAAACTTCTTTTAATCACCAAACGAAATGTTACATAAAACGAAGCCATCTGGTGGAGAAACGGAGTTCGCCGGGTTTGCTAGTATGCTTATACATATTAAACAGTATATGCATTCTATCTGTTACCCTAGTATCTCTTATCTATTAGACAAGTCCGTTCGTCCGTCCATCCGTGGTGCTATTTCAGCGGCCAAACCGTAAGAGATAGATATAGAGAATGTTTAAGTTATAAGTTAAGAATAGTCTGATAAGACTACAAACCGGATGTGAGTAACGTAGCACTTCCGGTTTTCGAGAAATCACGTGATTTCTATTTCAAACGAAACCACACAAAATCTCCGAAGTTCTCAATTAATTAAATACATTTTTTTTTTGGTGAACATTTGGTTCACTGGTTTGCTAGTATCCCATAACTCAAGTCTTACTTACTTTGGGTCTAGGCCAATCGGTGTGTGTTGGAAACATAAATATATTACGCTTATATTATAAAGGCGAAAGTTTATGAGCGTGTGAATAAGTATTTTTGTTACTTCTTCACGTCTTAACGGCTGGAGCGATTTTAATAAAATTTGGCATGGAGTTAGCTGACTCCCTGGATCAACGTATAGGCTATGTTTTACTGTGGGAAAATATCCCTAAAAAACCGCGGGCAACACTGCGGGGCACAGCTAGTATATATATAAAAACAATATAATGAAATATAAATAAAATATAACTAGAAAAAATTCAACGCGGACCAGGCTGCAGACGGGACTCGAACCCGCACCCTTCGCAATCCGGGCGAATGCACTGACCAATTATGCTACCGCGGCCCTCACGGTCCGCAATTTTTCTAGCCATTCTTAAGCTGCAAGGCAGCGCCATCTCTTCGCATTATAGGTAACCCGCAATGTCAAATGAATACTTTTACAAGTATTTAACATTTGAAAGAAGAAATTGAAAATGAGGGCCGCGGTAGCATAATTGGTCAGTGCATTCGCCCAGATTGCGAAGGGTGCGGGTTCGAGTCCCGTCTGCTGCCTGGTCCGCGTGGATTTTTTCTAGTTATAATTTCTTTAGATTTAAACATCAAGCAGTTACATGCTTTAAAAAAAATGTGTGTGTCAGCTCCGACGCACGACCGGAGTTTACACTCTAAAAACGATTGTCTTTGAACAGACACAAAGCAAAATCAAGTCCGAAGAAGTCGGTTACAAGTAGAGATACCTCAGGAATCGTCCCATGGTTTCGGCTATCATAGGTTCCATGTCACACATTTTATCATGTAACATCATCGATATTCATCATATATTTTATTATATATTTCTGGAAACACACAATTTCAAAAATATCACACACTAGTCATCATTTTGTAAATATGTATTATAATTCCATCTGTACTGAAAATCACTATTCCAGAGTGCTGGACACTTACCGGCATTTCTCTATATTCTGTTATTTATTTGTATTTATTAATTTTGCTCCGATTTTATCTATTTTTAGTTTATTTATTTTATTGATATTTGTGACAACTTAATGTTTTTTATCCGTTGCCATGGCTGAAAGTGAAAGGTGCGCAGATGAGGTTGCGCACAAAAACGTAACGAGGTCATTTGTTCAGTAGATTTTACTCCTCACATTCTTCTCATACCGGACCCCTTATATATGCAAATCGATTCTTAAGGAGTAAACTCCAAATATTATAACTGTAATGAAACATTACTCCTGTTGTCCTTTCCAGGCGGTCTGGGCCCCATGAACATTCCCATAATCAGCGACAAGTCTCACCGCATCTCGCGCGATTACGGAGTCCTCAACGAGGAGACGGGCATCCCTTACCGGGGCCTTTTCATTATTGACGACAAGCAGAATCTGCGCCAGATCACCATCAACGATCTGCCCGTCGGAAGGTATGTAATCTTATAATTATATTACTAGCTGGGCCAGCAAACTTCGTATAGGTAGCCATAAAAATATGGGTGGTAGAATGGTGAAAATTTATGGTTTCATGTATTTTTGTATGATGTATCCAACGATATTAAATACCAATTTAATTGCATTTTGTGCAAAAACTATCGGAGATACGCGAAAATATGTTGATACCTTTTTTGTAGGAAATTAATTTTTCTACAACTTTTTACTAGGAACTTTTTCTATTTTTCCAGCCAGTCGCCAGATATTGGCGAAAAACTCGTTTTTGCACCATTTCGCATTTTTTTTCACCCTTTGCCGTCAATGCAGCACCCTGCAATTTTAGTATATTAATCTACGAACCCTTGCGGAAATTTTCGCGTTGGTGCAACCAATGATCAACTCAAAATGGCAAAGTTAAGCCTTTATTGACTGGACTATGTATGTTTGGGTGGAATCTTACAACTCAATTTTAAGGCACTTGCCCTCAACCGATTGAGCTGAAAGGACATTGCTCGTTGCCCATGCATTGAATGCCCTATAACGCCCAGCAATGAGAAAATACTAGTTGTGTTCGGAATCATTCATAAACTCTAATTAAGCATTTGTTGAGATACGGACAACTTGAGGAACAGTGGCCTACTACAGAATGTATTAGATTTTGAGGTTATAATTATTATACTTAATCGTAAAAGATGTACACTTTATATATTCTGAATAGATTTAGTTTTTACCTCTATGTAAGCACTGAAATAATATGCATTAAATGAACATAAAATGCAATTAATAATAAAAATAATAAATGCTTATATTCATATTGATTTATGAGTGTTGTCAGTTGGCACCTATGATACCTATACCTACCTGTAGTAGGTAATAATAGATTTCTTTTCAAATGAAATGTTCAGTCTTTCCATTTACCTGTTTCTATATTTTAGTATCGGTAATTAGGTATGTACCTGGTTATCAATATGATTTTCATAAAAATAAACAGATATTACATGGGATGGGAGTATAAACTATATTTACATAATTTCAGAAATAATCTTTTTATAAATATAATATAAATACTAGTAATAACTATTATTGATTAAGGTACCTAGTTCTATTTTTATGTTGATAAATACCTATGGTCGCCTATATTGCATTCATTAAGGTAAACAATCTTGACACAACTTTTTAACAGAATCACCCATTTAAAAATAAAATACTAACGAAGCCAATAAACTATTAAAATAAATCGTTATTATAGACTGAAACCTATTGAATCTAGTTATCAGTTTATTTTTAATGCTGTATTTTCAAAAAAAGGAGTGCCAAGTTGGATGAACAGACTGTAGTATCTAGTAACAGAACTTTAATTTTTTATTTTCTTAAACAGATTGTCCGTTTACAATGATTAATTGCTAATAAGTTAAAAAAATAATATAAAAATAATAGTGAAGGACATTCTTTTGGGCATGCTAGGGCCGATTTCGTCGATGTCCTTTGGTATGCACGTTCAGTTCGGATGACAATGCATGATTACAGTGTGACATCATTCTAAATCCAACATGGCGGCATATCCAAAATGGCGGACCAATCATTTTTAATGCATACCTACAATATGGGTATCAAATTAAAGGGCTTGCTGAGGATAACGCGAAAAATAATGTGACCTCACTCTTAATGCAATATGGCAGACTACTAAAACTCAAATATCAATTTTGAAACAGATAGATAGATACCTTTTATTTCTTTTGAGCGCATTTAAATAAAAGCTTGTTTTTAAAGAGGATTTTTTTATATAAATCTAGTTTTTACGGGTTAATGCACGAAACTTTATTTATTTATTGACGTTTCGTAGCCTTTACAGGCTACGTCGTCAGAATAAAACTTTTATTAAAAAGTAAAAACAAAATAAAAGTTTGTTTCTGACGACGTAGCCTGTAAAGGCTACAAAACGTCAATAAATAAATAAAGTTTCGTGCATTAACCCGTAAAAAACTAGTTTTATTTAATGAGTGATGTGCGTGAAAACCTAAGTCACAAATATGTTTTTTTTTTACCTTAATTTTTTCAACTAAGTACTTCCAAAGTTCATGGCAACATGCATTTATGTTGTACTTGTTGCATGATAATGATAAACACGCATAAATCACTTTCACGTTACCTTATCGTGCACGGATTTGATAAGCAATATTACTGTTATCAGTTGTAATTGATGTCTGCATGTCTGTAATTGAATTTTCCATGTACTTTTGGAATCGGATATACATTCGTATGTGAGAATGTCTTGTTGCAAAAATATTTCTTATCAAACTTAATTAAAGAAATCACTATATAATTTTTTTAATCATGTAACTGCTAGATGTTTAAATCTAAGGAAAATATTACTAGAACAAATTCCACGCGGACCAGGCAGCAGACGGGACTCGAACGCGCACCCTTCGCTATCCGGGCGAATGCACTGACCGTTACGCTACCGCGGCTCTGACGGCCGTGTCGAATTATTTCTAGCCTTTTTTAAGCTGCAAATAATCACTTCTAACAGTTTCGGCTAAATGAAAGTCAGTCACATTATAATAAATATTAGCTTAGCCTAGTGTCCGTCATTCCTGAACATTTGTTATAAAAACATTATTTCTGTTATTGTTAGAAGTACCTTTTGATAGATACTGTGTATACTAGCAAGGAATCCATGGCGTGATAAATAATAATAAATAAATAAATATTTCCAACACTCACACCACTTAGCCTAGCCCCAAAGTAAGCACTATAAGGGCTTGTGTTATGGGATACTAGGGTAACGGACAGAATACATATACTGTATATATATAAGTATATTTATATAGAAATACATATTAAACATCCATGACTGGAGTACAAATGCTAGTATTCATCACACAAACATCTACCCCCACCGGGATTCGAACCCGGGACCTCTCGAATCGGCGACACCATTAAACCCGGTGTACAAACCAGTCTCCCACGGAGGTCGTCAAATGGAGGTGATGCTGTGTATGTATGATCCAATTATTCAGAAATCAATATATCTTTATTCAAATTGGATGTATAGTACAACTCTTTTGAATCGTCCAATTTTTTTCCCTACCACTCGTTATTGGACATATTTTTTAGCTGCGGAGAAAACGAGCTAAAAAAAAACTCCACAACATTCAAAGTATAATGTAACAATATTTATTATTAATTAGGTTTATGATTGCATTGAATCATGTCTACCAATCAATGTCGCCAATCTATACTTTAGTGTAGACATTAGCAGCCAGACTCCGATAAGTGATAAGATATATAATACCATTGATCATTTCAAATTGCTCAAAGATTAAAGTGACGTTTATCATTAAGCACTATTTCTATAAATAGTACAAGTTCAGTCTAGACATAATAGTAATATAAGTTTTTTATAGTAGCCTTGCAGCTTAACCCGTCCCGCGTTCAGCCCCCTCAAATAAAAAATGCGTGTAATGTCCGGGCTCATTTGAGCGCCGAGATTTTTTATGACCGTTATTGTAATTTATTAAAATATTATGTTTTAATTAAGGTTAAGCGCTAAGAATTATACACCGTTATAAAGTAGATAAAATTGCCTGTATTATGAATATAGTAAAAAGGCGTTTGAAAACTTACATAATAAGGTTTTTCATTAATTTATTTCCACTTTGTTGTTTTGTTTTCGTCACTAACATTCCAGAGTTCCAAACATTAATTTCCAAAGGTATTGGCACATTATCACTACACCATTCTAAAGAGGATATATTCACCATTATTTCTCACAAAAAAGTTTTTTCTAATTAAACAAATTACTACATAAACAACAATAAATTACACAGTGACAATGACCACGAATTTGCAATGGCGGACTAACGTTCCGATACGTGCAATAAGTACCGTCAGCACAGAAACATAGAAAAGATAAAAAAACATTTACCATGTATAGACTTGATAAAAGCGTAAAAAAAGTAGTAATTTAATTAACGTTTTTGAAATGTTATTATTATTTTAAGATAGCTATTGTTAGGTCGTGTTCTTTGAAAATGAAGTATAAAATATTGTAATCTTTTCTATATAAGTACACCTTATTTTTGATCAATGAGTTTATCTACCAAAATATTTACTCATAGTTTGTACACATATGGTAACAAATAATTTATATGGTTAACTAGCGGTCGTCCGCGACTTCGTCCGCGTTAACTTCAGTAATTTTTAATCTCTCAAGAACCTGGATCAGTGAAATTATAAAAAATACCTATCAATCAAATCAAACTATCAATCAAAAGTATGCTATATAGTCCAGTCACTTTAGGGTTTCACCTCGGAATTTGAGATAATAAGCTGAAAACTCGTGTACAGATTCATTTTGGCGTTCTAAAAGTTGTCTCAAAAGTCTCATATTATCTCGTATCTGCGTCGTAAGTTATTCGAGGTCACGAAAATCGTTTTTTTGGAATTATCTCCGTTTCTATGGTTCCAATCACTTCAACGTCTATTATAAAAATTAAAGATTAAAGAATTTGCCACAACTTTTGTCTCAACTTTTTTTCTATACGCTCAACCCTTTTCGAGATAAGGGCGGAGAGCACTCAGCGCTCAGGCATATAATAATATACTGTAATACAAGGTCAGCCGTGAATCTCGGTGAATAATAATATGAGACTTTTGAGACAACTTTTAGAACGCCAAAATGAAGCTGTGGACGAGTTTCCAGCTTATTATCTCCAATTCCGAGATTGGGACATTTTTCCCCTAAAGTGACTGGGCTAATAAGCACTGGAAATCAATTTGTAAATGAAGTCGTTGAGACACAACCGTCAGCTACTGCCCGCGCGCGCAACTTTTGTGATATTGATCCGTTGGTGGGAGGCGCCCGACGTGATAGCACAGTGGTGGCATGCGCGTGAGCTGCGCGCGGTACTGAACAGTACTTGAATATTGCAACATTACTTTAATTTTCTAAAATAAAAGATTTTTTCTAAAATAAAAGTACCCTAAGTTATTC